ATTCCACTCTCACTCGTCGTAAGACCTAAAATCAGTGGAGAGAAACACAGTGAGCGTTGTAACGGCGGGCAGATGTGAGTCGTTCCCAGGAGCCTAGAGAAAATTCAGGAAACTACAAGGGAGGAGAGAACCCAGCGGTCCCTCAGCATAGCTCGGCATCAGGTGAACTCCCTAAGGAGCGGGGCTATGCTGCTTCCAGGGGTTCACCTCCGGTACCTGAAGTACGAGCCAGAAACGGACAATGGAGACAGTCCAGTGAGTATGACTAGACGGGTATAAGTGACAGGGAAATTCAAACAGCAGACGACATAAATACAGCTTCCGTGTCCTTGAAAAAACTCTCATGGAGGAAAAAAAAAGATGTAAATACAAATGGCCAAGCCTCTCCTCTGCTGTCACGCAGATGCACACAAGCCCTGTATTTCTGCGTGATGAAAGCATTCGGTTACAAACGCGTAGTAAAAGTGCCGAACAAAACGACTTGAAAAACGCTTTCCGCGTGTGCTCGCCACAGTTGACCAAATGCGGGCTGAAGTCCACTGTGTTTTAATGGAAATAAATTACACTAAATGAATTTTCCCAATGAAATCTAGCGTTTCTGTCACTGAGTTGTATCTAGTGTTCTTGACCTGGATGACAATTTTCAGGACCACAGCATCTCTAACTGAGCTTTACGATCGACACTATCCACCTAAATTAGTCTTTCATGATCATTTTCATTGGTGTTAACAGTCTAAGACTATAAATAGTATTGCATGATATGCCAAGTATCTTGTTCAGTCACACTAGTACAGGGGTTGTGAACTCATTCCCCACAGTCTCATAGTGCAGACCACCTGAGCCCACATTAGAAACATCTGCTGTCCAGCATGATTGCACAAGAAATTTCAGAGATTTATCCACATAAAGGTTGCATTTTAAAAAGTAACTGTGCTAACAGAACATCCTCAGTAATCAGGGGAAATGATTCCCACCTATTTCATCAGCGCACGAAGGGCATTTTCGGAACACAGAACCTGGGTTTCACGGCACTCACAGCATGGCGACTGGACCAGTGCCCACGGAGGCCGCCTCGAAGGGCCAGCAGCGGAGGAGGAGCCAAAATCAAGGCCCCAGGTATGAAGTTGCAGAACTGTGTCTGTATCCAGGGAAACCATGAAAGAACGCCATCCCCACATGGGGACAGCAGGCCCTGAGGTAGGTGATCGTTAACACCCTCCACAGCAAGGGCTGGCGGAGAAAACTGGGGGCCGGGGAGGACTGCAGCCCACAAGGCCATGAGAACAATGACAGGCAAGTGGCACCCTAAGGACAAAGAACACTGAGACAGGGAAGGAGTTGGCCGAGGACAGGAAGCCAAGACTGGAGACGGGAGCTCTGAACTTGGCACGCTCAGGTCAGGATGCTAAGCATGCCAGACTCCCGCTTTTAGCAGAAAAGGACTAATGGTGAGAACAGTGAGCATGAGAGACTTGCTGGGAAAAGCAAGACGCAAGCCTCATGAGTATGGGCTCAGTGTAAAGCCACCTCAAGACAGAATGATGAGCACTAATAAGCACCAGCAGTGTAATGCACATGTATCTGATCTGTGCAGTTGACAATGAAATCGTGATCTTCACAGTGGCCGTGCATGCTAAACACGACACTGTCACATTCTCTCCATTTCACAGATAAGAAAATGGAGGCACAGAAAGAGTAAGTTACTTGTATAGGCCCTAATAAGTTCAACAGAAAAGCACATAAAAATTGCTAATAATTATGAATTTATGATCTAATGTTTAAACTATAATTATACCATTTACTAAAGAAGGAAAATACAAGTTTTATGTATCTTTGTGTTAAAAAGGTTAAAACTAAAAACCTCCAAAGGTTAGCCATCAATTATCCAAGGAATTCTGTTAACTAGACTACCATTCCCTAACTGATACAGATAACCAAGCTATAAGGAACCTAAATTTAGACCTGATCGTAAATGTGATGAGCCCATTCTTTTCTTATGCTCTAGGGATCCAGAATGAAAGAGAAGCCTTTAAGATACAATCAAATTAGAATGCATTGGTGGTATTTTTAAATTACAAAATAATGCCAAGTAATATTTACATATAAGATGTTCTCATCCAAAGGTTCTGCTAAATTAGTACTTACCTGTTTTTGGTGGGGGTTTTGGACCGGTCAATAAAAACTGGTGTCACACCACACAAATCTAAGGTTGACAATGTGGCGAGCCGTGGCCAGTTTTTGCCATACCACACGATCGTAACTGATGAATCGTTTATGGAGAGATCGACATGCTCCATGATGTATTCTTTTCCACCTTTTTCTTTCAATATAATTACCCAACCTAGACCAGATATTCTGGAGAAAAAAAAAAAGCAAGCTAAAAATGTTTACATTGCTCGGGGGGAGAAAAACTAACCTCTATTTCACAGACCAACTCTAAAGCATCCAGTTCCCTCAAACCAAAGTCAAAGTTCCCAGAACGTGCCCAGCATAAGTTTCCATGTCACCAACAGCTCCCTCTCTAGACCATTTCCCCTCCCCTGACAAGCATACACTGACATCTATAAGTTCTTGGTCCTGGCCATGCACACGAAGACGAAGGGTCCGCCCAGGGGGAGAAATGCCTTGAATGCCCTTGCCTCACCACCAGAGCAGATTACGAGGCTACTTCTGCTTTTCACAAACACTTTAGACCATTTACATGGAACAGGAAAATACTATATACTTTTTACATGCGCAGAAACACACAGAAATATCAAGAGACAATCCCTCATGGTAGCAAGCGCATGTACGTCCTGGGTACACAACGGTCTGAGCTTACACCACCCTGCTTTTCAAGGTGATCTACATTTGAATGCACTCAAGCAGCCACTGGGCCCCCATCCAGGGAGACGTGCGTACCTGAGGGCCTCTTTGGTCTTCACTGGAAGGCCTGTGTAAGGGTCGACAGGTTTGAGAACCTGAGCGAGGGCTGCCTTTACAGAGGCGATCTGCTTTGTGACATATTCTTTCTTCCAATATCCAGCTTCTTTATCCTCAACCGACAGCAAGTTCACAGGCTCAGCTGTTTTCTCTACTGAATTAACTTTCCAATTAGACCTTTTAGGCGAAAAAGCAGTTGAGTAGATTCTGATCCAAATAAAACTGGGGGAAAAGAATAAATAAGTAAACTGTCTGAGACCTTGTCATGTACCTATAGTTGCAACATATTAATTTGGTGAGGCACAACAACTTTCAATAGTCTAATTCCAGGAGTAAGTCAAGCTGAAAATTCACAGTTCTTCTTGCATTTAGGTGAACTGCAGTCTGAGGTAAGTGTTTTGATTCATCAACCCTAGGAACACTAAAAGGAAAGGCTTGTCTCCCAGAGTCAGGTAAAAAGGAGTGATCTCATGTGATTGGAGTCATCCAAACCAGTGACTTCCTACCTCAATAACTGAATAGGAGATCTAGTATAGAAAAAAAGCAAGAAGTGTATAAAGTGTGATTCCTGTCTTGTCATTTTGAATATACTCATGTTTTTAAAAGGTCAGAGAGTAGATACACACATAGAGAAATATCAACAGTAACTGAACTATATATATGTTCTTTTTGCTTTCTATATTTTAATAGTTCAACAATGAACATACACTTCTTACAGCAAAAAAATGAATTGTATTAATAACTACCAATGACAGTTACCACTTTTTGAGCACTGTGTATTAAGCATTATTTCAGCACTTTGTATGCATTATTTTTTTTCAATCCTTACAACAAATCGATGAGAGAGCTGCTACTACTGTTCCCATTGAACAGATGATGGAACCAAGGCCCAGGTGTGACGTGACCTTGCCCAGGTCTGTGAAAATGAGCAAGTGGTAGCACCTGGACTACACCCACTAGCCTCAACCAGTGCTCATGACTCTTCAATAAATACAGAAACAGACTCAAAGAAATTGAATAGGTTATCCAAACAACAGAGCCACAACGATGGAATTTAAATTCGGTTCCGGCCCAGGGTCTGAGGGCCTCTCACTTTGCAGTAAGAGGCCCCAGCAAGTGACAAGAGCAACATAGTCAGCTGGGGCCAAGGCTGAGCCAGGGCGCCTCTCTCCCAGCCATGCAAGACAGGTGAACTGCTCTTGGGGAAAACGGAGGCGGAGGTTAAAACCAATGTCCTAATGTGAGAGGTGAGGTTTACACAAATAAATTATCTGCTGATTTATGTCTCCATATTCTATTCAGTGCGGAAAGGGACGAAATGGACGATGGCCAAGAGGCATCGAACAGAAGGCGAATGACTCCCCTCCCCTACGTTACCCTCGGCCACAGGTAAGGAAGACGCTGAGCTGTAGATCTGCAGGAGACACCACAGAGCCTCGAAGGTCACGGCTGTCTCAGTCGCTCAGCGATAACCCGGCAGAAAGGGGACACTTGTCAGAGGCACTGGGAAACCGGTCCCCTTGATGCAGGCCTTACATGGACTTCCCCACAGACCCATGCGCAGCCAGCTCGTCCTAGTATGGCTTTTTCGAGCAACTTCTCATCCCACGAAGTTGTTTCACGCCTAGCTTTATGCCTTAAAGTATCTATGTTTTCATTTCAGAAATCTGACACTACTTGGTACATGCCCTAACACTCACATACAGAGTACACGTCACGTGGAGAGGGCAAGTGGCGCGTGAATCCTCCATCTCCGGTGACGACGCCCGCGCCCAACATCCGTACGACAAACCACTTTCACACACGTATCTTACCTAACTTAGCATACGTGCAGCCTGGAGAGAATGAGAACATGTTACAGAATTGAAGCACTCTGTAGATTGTTCCCCTTGATTATTTACAAAATACAAATGTCAAGTTTAAGATGCTTCTAGCAGCCTCCAAAACCCAAACACACTCATTTCTTGATCGCAAATGCTCCTTCCCATTAAAAAGCTAAGGTAGATTTGAGGACAAGAGCTTATTTATCTAATCTATCAGCCAGGCACAGAATACTTCAAATAACTTGTTCAGAAAATGGGGCCAATTTAATGTTCTGGTAAACAGTGCTTCCCAGAGTGCTGGGAAACAAAAAGCCCCCCTGCTGATGCAGACCCAGTCCGTCCACGCCTCCATCACCCCCCACAAAGCCCAGCGCTCATGCTGAGGGCTGAGCGCACGGCAGGGAGGCAGTGCCCACAGATGGAACGGGTGCCAGAGACATGCCCACCCTTCAGATGCGTCCCCCGGAAGTCATCAGTGTGACTGGCTACAATACGTGCTCCTGTCCTCTCTTCAGAAACAATGCTTAGAAAATACCACTAATTTCCAAAACCACGTTTCCCCATTCAGTTGTTAATACAGCCTTTTAATGAAGACTATGACACTTCAAAACACAATTCAACTTATACAATTAAGAGTCATCCTTTGAAAAAGAAAACAAACATGAGGATAACCATCAGAACCTCAGATTTTTAAAAGACACCTTCCAAGAAAGTGGGACGGACACACATTTAATAATAAAAGGGTGTAGGGACAACCACCAGAGCTCTGGCCCAAGTCCACAGAGAGGCCCAGTGCCTGCGCTGGACAGGCCTTGAGGTTGAGACCAGAGAGGTGATACCTAAAGAAACCGAGAATTTAGAATTTATCAGCTTATCTAAGTAAGCTGAGTTCTAGCCTTAAAGAACACTCCAAAACACTAAGAGACACATAAAAATTGCTCTACATTCATTCCAGAACTATTGTTAAGAACATGATTCACTCGATGTGTGCATTTACTGACATAAACGGAGAGACATATTTTCCCCCACAGAAAAACATCTTTTCAAATTAAAAGAAAAACCACCCTTTCCAACCAGAGAATGGTTAACACCCCCTTCTGATTTTAAGACTTGACTGATCACTAGCCTGACTTGGACAAATTCTGAAACCCAGATTCCAGAGCACAGAAGTCTCCGGAAAGGCAGGCGAGGGCTGCACATTTTTGCGCTTTCCCAGCTGGTCCTGGCGCCGCCGCCCCGGGGACAGGCATCTGAGAACCAACGCACCAGGCACCAGACGACGTTTCCCGCCCACTACGTTCCCAGATTAACCAGCACCGCGCCTTCTCTCTGTCACTCCCCATGTCCTCACCTATCAAACCACCAGCGCAATCTGCACCCCCTCATCTCAAGCTCTTCCCCGGCTGATATGTGGGTTCCATGTGGGATCGGCACCTGTCTGATCTTCTGGTGCCGAAAGAGAGAGGGACCTAAAACCCAAGTTGTTTAGCTGTAGGCTACGAAATTTTCACCAGAAGTTAGGAGGCGCCCACCAGCTCACCCCGAAGATAAAATTCTGAGTTGTGGATAAAAATGCGAGCAACAACAGAGAACAAAGCTTCCGTCCCTTTTCTCGTGGCTGCGGACTGGCCCAGGTGGGTGGTGTGACCCCCATCTGTGGCTTCCTGCCACCCAGGCAATGCCTGTGTGACAGCGACTCTCAGCCTATCTCTCCCCTCCTCACGCCTCCCTCCAGCAAGGCGCCAGGCTGCTCCCCAGACCCCCGACAGAGCCCCCTCCCTCGTCTTCTCTCTTCAGGGTCTGCACACATCCCGCTCTGCAAACAGGGCCAGGCTCAGCCAGGGGCGGGCCCCCCAGAGCTGCCTGAGCCCGTGGGGGTAAGCCTGCCTGCTTCTCAGGGACAGAGCGAGTCCCCTGGCCAACAGACCGAAAGCCACCTTCTCCAACAGCTACACCAATAACAAGTGGGATCTTTTTCAGTTCATGAAAAGAATATTCCTTCCTTTAAACATACAAATTCAAATCTTTGAAAATGATATATAACTAATTAATGCATCAGACATACTATATATCGAAAAATTCTCTTGAAATTTTTTTAAATTAAAAAAAAAATGGTTAAAAGGTCTCATTAGTTTTCACGACTTCTATCAAAACAAGAAAGAGACGTTCGGTTTTCTCCTTACTTGTCATTGGCCAGATGATAAAAGCGCCTGTTCACACACCCAGTGCACAGCAGGGTCATAGCATCCAGGTAGGACAGTATCTTCAGCAAGATTTCTGAAGGCAAGCTGAGAGAGAAGGGGAGAAATCGGAAAAGTGATGAGTTTAATCTACAAGTAACCCAGAAAATAACCAGGTGGTCATCTCCAAAGGGAAGGTGATAAACAGAGCCTTCCTGTACAAGGCAACCTGCACCCTCACCTTCAATTATGCGACTGACATGCTCTGCTTATTAGGATTCTCATGACATAACCCAAACCAATACAGAGACAGGGTACAAAGAGCTAACTTCCTTGGCATTTTAATCATGTTCTCGCACTGAATCAAACAGGCAGGATTTCACTGCCTCCCTAATGAAAGTATTACTATTTGATGAGATAAACGGAAATGAGACAGAATGCATTCTTAGCTATCAATAAGAAAAATATAGAACCTTCTCTCAAAACAAAAAAAAACAAAAAACCAAAAAACACTGTAAGTAGAAGAGGAAGTATCAGCTCGTTTTCCACCTGACTGATGCCACTCTCTCTTCCTGTGGCTTCAAGCAGACACCAAGCCCTGCAAGGTTTTCTGAAGTATCTTTTTCTTTTTCATTTATGTGCCTAAATAAGTATGATGCTGAGATTCATTTTCAGTCTCCCATGTATTTCTACGATCTCAGAATTTTACAAAATGCTGTAAGAATCTGAAAGTGTCTAGAAAGCATTAGTGATGACAGGAAGTCAGGAAGGGGTTCATGAACCTTAAGCAAAAGGAGCAATGAAGAGGAAGCTGTAGAAGATTGGGGGGTCCTCTCTATGTACTTCTGGCAGAAGTTGAGATCAAAGATGTTCTTAATTATTTTTCATAAAGTTTCCTCGAAGCCAGTGCAGTCAATGCCCACAGGCAGGCCGGGTTACTTCCTGTTGGGTTCTAATTATCCCATGCTGCATCGGGTGGGCTAGGGGAGGTGTCAGAGCACGAAAATCTGCTTCGGGTCCACATGCCTCCCTGAGGAAACAGAAGGTCATCTGTGCGTTCATTTCAGGTCAGTAGCGTGACAGGTCAGGTAGGAAAAGGTCCTTGTCCCCGTCCCATACCGTGGATCCACCGCGATGTTCCTGCACTTGCAGCTTTCTGCTCCCTGTTCCGTGAGACAGCTCAATCCCCCATGCCAGGTCCCTATCTGGCCCCGGGCTCTGGGTCCCCAGCGTCCTTCCATTCCTGCCTCCCTCTCCTGTGTCATTCAAATCAGCATCTAAAACACACCCCAAATCCTCACCCTAAAATGACATTCACCCTGATCCCCCATCTCCCTCCAACCACCACAGGACGATTTCTCTGCTCCCTCTACTACTAAGCTTCCAGGGAAGAAAACAGAACGAGAGAAAACAAAGCCTGTCTACACCTGCTGCCTCCACGACCTTGCTTCCCACTTCCTTTCTGTTTGTCACATTTTGGTGTGAAATAAGACAGACGAAAAACATATAAAAGTAAGTGTCCGGCCCATTCCCACCCCGCTTGGCTGACCAGCTCTGCGGCTGCCCCCAGCCTCCCCGCCCTCCCTCAGCAGTGCAGACCCAACCGCAGCCTCGCAGCCATCTCTCCAGCCGCACACCACCCCACCTGCTTCCCTGGACCTCACTGGTTTTCCCAGGCTCCTTGGTTGGTTCCAAATGTCCCAGCCCCTCCGAGCCTCTCCTGAGCCCTGTCGCTCTTGCCTCTGCCCACTCCCCAAGACATCCGGCCCAGCCCTCAGCCGCAGATGCCTCCCATAGGCTCGCATAGCCGCTGTCCTTTGGGCCTCCTGGTTCAGGTGTCCCAGGCCGCTGTGCCTCCTTCCTGTCCCGACCCCAGTGCTTTTCCATCCCAGTGAGTGGCATAGCTTAAATGGTTCCCTTAATTAGATTTCTTTTCCTTTAATTTTATTTCTTTTTAAAAACCCACTACCAGCATGTACACTGTTAGCTGAGCTAGTTATGTTATAGTACTAAAAGCCCAAAACTTGAAATCAGGCAACTTATGTTTTAATCTGAATTTTGCAATCCGTAGGCCACATGAGCCCGCTTCCTCCACTGTAAAGTGTCTAAGACAACGCCAAGCTTTCAAGGCTGTACACGGCGCTTAGCACATAGCTAGTGCCCCATCAGTATTTGTACAGAATGGATCCATAGGCACATCAGCATCAATTTCAAAGAGTAATTTAAAAAAAGAAAAGATTCTACAGATCTTGCTGGTGAGGTCACAGTATAGAATCTTGCCATGACAAAATGGGTCCCCAAAATACTGAAAGCTAAGAAATTCAGAGACCTCTTGAGCTTTTAGAAGAAGACACTTTAATCTTCTTTCTCCTTTTTCAAGGGTCCTTATCAACTGGAAAGTGAATAATTTTGAAGAACATTTTTAAAAAAGGAAAAATTTACTTATCACTTTTAGAACTTTAGCTTCATAAAACTAGTCTAATAATGATGGTGGTGACAGGCTGATGACTCACATCAAATTCTCTGCGTTGTACATTCTTCCTACACAATTCTATTCTTAGAGAGCTCAAAATGGCAACCTGGTGTATGCGGCATCATAACTTTCTCTAATAACTCCATCCCTAGAGCACCCAGAAAAGCGGCAGAAGACTCCCGCTACTGACCCGTCCAGAGACACGGAGCAGTGAGCCGAGGATCTCTCACAGCTCCTTCCATGCCTGGCAGACTGCTTCAGAGTCGTGCAGCCTGCAGCAAAATTGTCTCCTGGCCCTTTTCTGAAAGTAAACATGGAAAATGCAAATTAGTATAATGAACGCTATAGTGGCCATTCTGCTCCAAAATTTTAAAAGATTCATAAATTCACTGTGAAACTCATCTCTGCAAAGGAAGGAAGGGCGGAAGGGCGGAAGGAAGGAAGGAAGGAAGGAAGGAAGGAAGGAAGGGAGGGAGGG